AGAAAAAGAAAAAGAAAAAGAAAAAGAAAAAGAAAAAGAAGTGATTTTTTTAAAGACTTCGTGGAGTAATAAACAGAACTAGTCAGCTGCAGGTGCACTTGGCACCTCAGTGACAGAAGTACCTTAAACTGATGTTGCAACTAGAACTTCTTATTTGGGAAGTCAAAGACTTCCTGTCCTCTCCTTTTCTTTTTCTTTAAATCACTGGAGCAACAAGCTCTTTTAGTTTACTCTTCTACTCAAGTTGAAGTGATGCTCAGAGAAATGCCCAGTTAGGTGCCAGAAGACAGGCCCAGCAGCACAATGAAACACTAATTTCAGTGCAAGAAGGAGAGAAGTGTGCTATTCACTACTTACCACGACCAAATCATCATCAGTTGGCTCACTGACTTCAGTCTCAGAAGATCTGGCTGTGAGATCTACGACTTCTTCAACAGCTGAAAAACAGAATGTTAAAATCAAGATCAGAGATTGCAGCAGAATGAAATGAGGTGCCACTGTGGAACAGGCTGAGGCTGGATTCAGCTGTTCCCTGAGTCTTTTCTCTTCTGGAATGTTGTCCAACTCAAGCTTTGCCCTCAACAGTCCACGGAGAGCATCATCAGCTTTGTTTCCTGAAAGGGGCAGTGCAAGAGGAACATCAGCTGAGCTCCTCACGGTTCTGCTGGATTACTACAGCTCACGGGAGCTACACACAGAAAGATGATTCATCTAATATAGAGTAATGTTTAGAACACAGAAAAAAAGACCCACACCAAAATCATAATCATGGAGGGTGCCCTAATTTTACAGTGTCATGCTGTACATGTTCCCTTCAGGGATGGGGCACAGCTAATGACACTTTTTCTTGTCATCTTCCAAACTGGAAGATCCCAAATTTAATTTGTCACCCTCTGTAGTGGCAGCTGCAGTACCTCATTGTAGACTTTCAGATTTTGAGCAGCACTTGAGGACCTTTGCTACACAGCTCATCTCCCACTTGGGGCGATATATTACAGCTCAGTAACAAACCAAAACAGCTGTCAGAAGGCTTGTTTAGAGATATCATAGTGGGCACTTCCTAAAATTCAAGTTTCCCTTCTTTCCCAGTGAAGGGCCTAGAAATGGGCAAAAGCACACATTCAACTGGACCCCAACCCTTCAGAAACAGTTTTTATTCTTACAAAGCTCAAAAGAAAGCATACCACTTTCTCTGGGGTCTACTGGCTCTGCTTCTGAAGTTCCACCTGCACTAGAAGTCACCAGCCTTCTTCGTTTCTGAGTTTGTTCAGAATCATCTGGTTCCCCACGGCGCTTCTGCCGCCTCTGAGAGAGAACAAAGCCTTAGCATCTTCCATGGGAGTAATATCAACATGACCCTCATTTTTGCAACACCAGTGAAAACACACGAGGGTACAGAAAACAATCCCACAAGGGCTAGAATATGCATTAAGTGGTGCTGTGGGGTATTCCTACCAGAGCACATGGCATCAAGGAAAAGACAACCCCCCTGATCTCTTAACAATTCCCTCACTAAGAAAAAGCCTGTCCTGATGCCTTGCAAATGAGAAGAGTAGTCCACAATTATATCAGGTTGTTGCTCATGCTGTAAGCATTTCTGAACTATTGCAAGCACCCAGAGAGATTCAAAATCTTCTGTATCCCAGAACATGAAGTTACATGAAGTTTTAATAGACTTCTGTTCCCATGCATTTGCTACAAACTCTTGAAATCCCTTCTAAAAGTACCCTGGAAAACATGTTTCAAGAATCAGATTTGCATTGAGTACTGAAGTACTTACTGTGCTCATGGTGTTTCGTGATCTAAAACCACTGGCAAAGCAAGTGGACAAACACGGGAAAAGGAATGTCAGGGAAGATGCAGCAATCAATCCCTTGGGTTCCTTTAGGTAGCACACTGCTACAAAGCTCTGATTTCTCAGGATCTGAGAATGATGTTCTTCCAAACCTATCAGAAAAGTAGAGAGGAGATTATCTATCTAGAATGCCTGTTCTCTTAAACACTCCCCTGCTCCAAGATCCCCATTCCCAAGTCATCAGCTTCTGCCCAAAGCTAGAGGGGAAGTCCATGAGTTTGGTACTAGAGCCCACCTGCAGCTGGACCTGAAGACCAGAACAGTCCCTCAGCCTCAGAAATCTCTTCAAAAATCATCTGCACTCACCTGTACACTCAGTCCAGAGTTTTTCTCACAAATGTCAGGAAATCGCCTTCTGATCCCACCTGGGATGAAGAAGACAGATGCTCTGCGTCCGATGCCCAGCAGAGAATCCGTCAACTGACTTAACAGACTCCCGGTCACCAGAACCCTTGGAGCGGGACTCTCCATGGCAACAGTTCCGTAACATTCCATGCCCAGGTAGCAGGAGTCCACGTTGTAACCTCATGGAGTTCCAGAACGCCTTGCCTCGGAAGGCACCGTGATGATCACCTAGTTCCAACCCCCTGCCATGGGCAGGGATGCAACCGGCTGGATCAGGGTGCTCAGGGCCCTGTCCAGCCTGACCTGTGGGATGGGGCACTCACAGCTTCTCTGGGCAGCCTGTTCCAATGTCTCATCACTCTCACAGCTCTTCCTAACATCCAATCCAAATCTCCCCTTTTCTAGTCAAAACCCGTTCCCCTTTCTCCAGTGACTCTGCCTCCTTTAGGCACTGGGAGGCTGCAAAGAGGCCTCCCAGGAGCCTGCTCCTCTCCACGCTGGACAGCCCCAGCTCTCCCAGCCTGGCTGCAGAGGAGAGGTGCTCCAGCCCTCCGAGCATCTCCATGGCCTCCTCCAGGCCGCTCTAACAGGCATATCCTGCCTGTGCTGGGCCCAGAGCTGGATGCAGCACTCCAGATGGGGTCTCCTGAGGGCACAGCAGAGGGAGACATTCACCTCTCTGCACCTTCAGCCTGAGGAACACAACTTTAGCCTTTCCATGGCTAAAGAAACCCCACCAAATGCTCTCCCAAAAAAAGAAACTTAAACCCTTCCTTAGCCTTCCTCCTCCATGTTTTTTAGTCTGTTGCTGAAAATTCTTACAAGACTGTTTTAACTTTAACCCTAGGAAATGGAGATTAAAATTAAATCAAAAGATTTTTTTTTTCAAACTGCTGAAAATCTAACAACTTAGATCCTTATTTAAAGTCTTTGAAGTCTTGACATTTTCAGGTATTCAACTATTCCTCTGCCAGCACTTCACAACAGGGTTGGGAGTAGGTTTGCTCTGCTCCTGGGGACAGCACCTTCCTCCCAAGGCCCTGCTCTGCTATGAAAGTTGACACAGCAAAAAAAGTCAAATTAAAATTCCGTCTGCCTTCTAGCCAGTCTGCCACTGGGCCTGCATTCAGATGGATCAGCTGGGGCTCCTGAGAGAGGCAGCAACCCTGTCTCAGCCTTGCCAGATGTAGGGGTGCTCCTCAGCCCCTGGTCCCAGGGGTGTTCTCAGGGATGGGAAGGATGGTGGAAAGTCATCCAGTGCCATGGATAGCATAAGGATATTTTTAGCTCATGCTCTACATGAGAAGGATGATTTCTTACAAAAATTTCTCTGTTATTACAACTGTTGTTTTTAGGTGATTGATGAAGTGTTGATTGTTTAAGGATGGGTGAGGACAATTCTCTCAGTTTTCTCAGTCCTGTGTCTGGAAACTGAAGCATAGGCTTGTTTCTGTCACCGTATTTGCATCCTTCATTTCTCATATTCAGTGCCTGGAAACTGGCATGATGTACCTAATTATTCATCTATAAAATATACATTTGGAATTGCTCTAGAACCCTCGTATTTTTTAATCAAACGTTAAACCTCCTTTATGATTTTTCTTATCTAAATCTCTGCCCTTTGGACCCAACAGTTTTGGAAAGCAAAAGTGTTTAGGCTGAGATGAAGCACAAGTGGATTTACCAGACTATGAAACATCCCACATGTTTAAACAGGGAGCCTGTCCACTCACACTCCAGGTACAGTTGAGATTGGCTGAGTGGACTCAGCACCACTTGTGCTTCAGGGCAGGACTGAATGACTTTTAGCAGGACTTTGTTCTCTGAGGTAAAGGAGGAGGAAACACTGAGGAAAAGGAGGGGCACCTTTTAGTAAGCCAAACATTTGAAGGCTTTTGGGCTTGATCTCCTTCGTCTCTGCTAGACAACTGCAGCAGGGGGCTGGTAGGTCTTTCCTGTAAAGCCCAACGTTTTTTAATTAAACCTGCTATTGAAAATATTCATCACTCAGTGGTAGGGCAGAGAGAAACTTTTGCCCCTTCTCTGCAAATCCTAGGGAAGCTGTGAAGGCCACATACCTATTTTATCTCATCCCATGCAGGCCAGCTTTGAAGCAAGGTGTAAAACCCCTGAAACAATCCTTGCCTTTTCATTTTGGGAAGGAAGAAGTTTGCATCTATTAACTTAAAAAAACAAAAGGTTAATTATGGCAAACATCCTAAACTAAGCCCACACTGGGCTGGCTTGGTGCATTAATCACGTGGAGGTACAGCATTAGCATTTTCACAATTGGCTATGGTTTGCCAGGAATGTTTAGAAGTAAAAGACACCTCAGGAAGTGAGAAACCCACAGTTCCCTGGCGAGGGGTTGTCAGCTCTGTACTCTCCCAAATCAGGGCTAGCCTGGGCATCAGCGAAAGGACCAGAAAGTAATTTAAGAAGGGTGACTGCAGTATAGGATGTCATATACCAAAGTAACCTGCTGCAGGGCCATCACAAGAAAATGTACAATGACATGAGAAAACCAACTTGTCACCCTAGTTGATTTGGTACTGACTCTCTGTGACTCACTATCTTTAATAACTAGAATGGTTTTGAGCTGTGAGTAGACAAACAACTGGAGTCCATGAGGTGGCAGAAGTCCAGTGACCAGCCCAGCCCTTCAGCCTCATCACCATGGCCGTGCTTGCCCACAGGTCTCCTGCCCACAGGCAAGTTGGTTTCTCTACCATAGGGAACCAACCCAAGCAAAAGAGGTTCTGCATTGTCCTCATGGGCTGCCAGGGACTGGTGGCTGGTTATCCATGGGCGATGCGAGACACTCAGCTCTCCACACAGCTCAGCACAGGAATAGGTTTGCACTCCCCAAAGCAACCCTGCAGACCCGTCCCTCTAAATCCACCATAGAGATGCAGGGAAATAGGCAAGAATTACCAAAAGAAGCCCCCAAAAGATGTTATTATTGACAAATAATAATTTGTCTTAGTCTCACTGAGGATTGCATTTCACTTCATGTGTCAAAATGTGCCTTTGCTTGACTGTAGCAATGGCTAGGACTTCAGAATGTGTTTCCCAAAATCTTCACAGGGAAGTGCAGGTCTATTAGAGAAATACATATTAAGACCATTTAAATTAAGTAAATATGTTTTTAAACCCCTCTGATGGCAGGCATCAGTGGGTGGCTTGTTCTGCAGAACAAGCATGTCTCTGATTTCCTTCTCTCAGTTATTTCTAATTCTCCACAGAGGTCTGAAATTCTTCAGTAGAGTCTATCTGGGCTTGAAAGCTGTGCAAGATTTGTACCTTGCTCTGAATCTGAGACAGTGTCTATAAGTGCGCCTGTAGGGAAATGTGCATATCAGGCTCTTCAGGCAGTAACTGAATCGGTAATGTTTTTCCATATAGTCTCTGTTGCTTTTTCATATTCAAAACCTAACACTTGGAAAACTCATCTTTGTAAACTGCTTTCTGTGAAGGCAGGTATCATATAGCATATTATATAGTGTTAGGCAAAAATTACCTTTAAGGATTGGGTCACTATGGAAACCATTCTTATCCCAGAATCAAATAGCCATTCTAGTTGTAATTAATATATGATTTATACGGAGAATAATTCTGAATTATAATTAATTTTCTGTCTCGTGCTGGAGTTATTTTTATTGCCCCCAAAGGCATCAGGATTTGTTATAATTCAGCAATGCAAAATTTTATAGAGATAGACTATAACCTACATTGAATCTACTGTCAGAAATTGCAGTCAATGACTTTTGACTTCAGTCTCTTAAATAGTTGAAAAGACTCTGGCAAAACACTACTAACATTTTTTGTGGAAAGCAGAAGATAAACAAGGTCTTCTGAAACTTGCATTTCATCGCAGCTAGACGTGTATCCTAGACATGCACAGAGAGGGGCCCAGGTTTGCTGCTGTATGCAGATGGGTGGTCCACAAATTCGTATTTTCCTTTGGCTTAAGCAGAAGCTTTATGTAAAAAAAAAAAAAAAAAAAAAAAAAAAAAAAAAAAAAAAAAAAAAAAAAAAAAAAAAAAAAAAAAAAAAAAAAAAAAAATAAATGAAAAAAAAAAAAAAAAAGAAGAAAAAACCTCTTACCTTTTCTTCCTTGGGTACTTTTGTCCATCACTTCTGTTACCATGACCAAGGTCACACATGGAAACTTTGGCAGACTGCTGAGACATGGTGGACATTCACAGGTAAATCACTGTGACTGCCTTTAAAACCTATAACATAAGTAACAGGAGTATAATGCTCCACCTGACCTCAATCAAGCCACTGGCAAAGCTGATTTTCAAACCAAGGGGAGCAAACCCATCCTTGTGATTAGGTGAGCTGCACTAGCTGGTTCTGATGGGAGTTGTCCACAGGGAAGACAGAAGCCCCCAGTGCTAATAGGAACAATTTCCAAGGGGGTAGCAGCAGGGTGGTCCCATTTCCTTCTCATTGTCCAGGGTCTGCACCAGGTCAGGAGACTTTTTGTAGGATTTTTTGGCACTCACCTCGGTAATTCCTTTTTGGGGGAGACTGGAGTTTGTTCTTTTTGGAGCAAATATTCACCTATGTTCTATGTGTAAGAGAACTGTTTGCCTGAAAATTTCTCGTTTTTTCTCTCTTTCCAAGAGGGAGGCAGAACCAACATTTATTTTCCTAAAAACCTGTAAATTTTTGAGGCACTTGTTTCTCCACAGTACAGTTGTGAATCCCTGTGGACTCTCAAGGGTTTTCTCCTGGAAACAGATTTACTGCTCAGTGATTGCAGTTATTACAGCAGGACAAAATGGAAAGCCTTTGTGGTGACTAAAATGAGAAGTTTGGTCTTCCTGGTCTGGAGGAGCAGACTCCCACGCTCCAGATGAGCAGTAATGTTAGCTTACTGAGCCATGAACTAACAATTTTTATACTTTCAGAGCTGTTCCGTCCACCCCAGAGCTCTCAGTGGAGGAAGATCTACAAATCACCAAGTTGCCTGAAGACTTTTGGGAAAGGACCCTATAAAAACCCCAATCCACAGTCCCCTAGAAGTGCCCAAATACAACTTTGGACTCAGGACATGGGCAGTCCTGCCTGCAGAGTCACAGGAGCTGCCCTTATTTTGGTTCTGGCACAGGGATACTCAGCATCTCAGCCCTCCCACCACACAGGCTAACACTGTGGGCTTTTCAGGTGAACCTGTTGCCACTTTGATAAGGTAAATACTTAATAA